CCAACCTGTTCTATTGATTATTTTAGTCATATCTGTCGCTTGCTCGGTTAGGAATATCCAATTTGAGCACTCGATTCTCAAAAAGTTCGGAGTTCTATGTTTCTCATAGAATATGGCCCATGGTTCAATATTAGTTGATATTCTACAAATATTTCCACAAATCGTAGTTTAGGTTCGGTTGAAAGCTTTCAGAATGATAAATATTTTGTTTTACAGTGTTTAGGAAAGGATTGTTCTTCTCACTCAAATATCTATCTGCCGTTGATTTAAAATTTATTTTATTTGGTAAATATTTCTTTATTTGTAAATTCATGCTTTACAAATACATTGATTTTAAATCATCACATTTCGTGAGCAACATAAATATTTGTGGATTTTTTTGTGGTTCGTTTCAAAAAATCCCTATTTTTGACTGTTAAATTAGCATAAGATATGTCCAGTTCTCCTATGTCCAAATATGCTCTCGGGAATTCGTTAGATACATCTTGCGTATCAGTACCCCGTCAAAATATTGACAAGTTGACGTGATCCATAATTTCTATTCACATCGTAATCATCTTGTAATTCTCTTGCGAGACTACGAGCTATCATAATAGTTACCTCATATTAGTTAACTGAAGATTTCAATGAGGAAAAATTTAACAACAAGCCTCTGTGTTGCTTGCTCCAATCCCAATGTTGGCCACCAATTGTAATACAGGGTGTCCATAAAGTCCCTTTACAGTTTCAATTTTGTTATGAAGTCAGTTCTCAATATATCTTAACCAGGTTTGTCGTTTTTTATTCAATAGTTGTTTAAGTATTTTTATTTTATTTAATACATGTGTGAGAGCCAAAACAATATAAAATTCACTTTGCAATTTTAAAAAATTAAGACTTTATGGACGCCCTATATTGATTATTTTTATATTTGATGTTATATCCGATAAAATGCTCCAAAACTCTCTTATTACTCCTTCAGATATAAATTCTGACTAATTTAAATAGTTTAAAATCCGAAATTTGGAAGTCATTAATATAACCCGCATTGTTATAAATTAATAAAATTGATGTTAATATTTCACCTTTATAATTAAGGAAAGATGCATTTTGTCACAAATAGAACCCAATGTAGCATTACTGGCTACTCTGCCTTCAAAGTCGAACTCTTGCTATTATGAATTGAATCTATTCATAATCACAAAGATCAAAATTATTTTATAGTGATGCCGACAAAGATCATTATTCCATTTCCAAATTTATACGGCATGGTGGGTATATTGGTAGCCATGACCTCCTACTTGTATAATAACAAATGTATATTTGCATATGTATGTATGTTGTATGTATATGTGACCTGTGTCAGATAAAAATCAAAATAGAAATATCTCAATCGATTCTAATCGTTCTTACCAGATGTCGGTTAGATGCCATGAGTCATTTTTCCATACATTTTATATAAGCGTAATGAATATATATGTCTTCACGCTACCCGTCCTTTCGCTGACATATCTTTTCGGCTCAATGAATACGCTCCCATATTCCGCCAGTGAACATACAATTGACCCCAGTTCACTACATTTAGTCGATTTAATAAATGAAGCGTAATTTTTTGCATACGCAACGATAGCGATAGACGCAATGCTGATTCCGACTTTTCGTCTTTTATCTTCGGTAAACTATGAATGAGGTTTATTTTTTTATTCGAATTTCCCACTTTCACCAAAAATAAATAGTGAGAAAAGGAAGAGCAAAAAAAAAAAAACTAAATGCAGCTGACTATACACGAATGGACTAGGATTGAGTTATTTAATCAGCAGCATTGCGCATAACACCATAGTTTGCTAAGCAAGAACTCCGCAAATTACTTAATATGCCTTATAGTAATTGCAAGTTGATTGCTTATTTTTCAAAGTAATTTACAGAAAGAACAAGCTGTTATTCTTCTTTTGGTTAAGTATACTTACTAGCATCTCAGGCAAAATTATTTGTTCGGAAACCCGAATAGTCCATCGTTGCTAACGATACCAACCACAAAATTGAATTGGAAATTATCTGTACCAAATACTGCAGGGTATATATTCAACTTACGTTAAACTTCTGAAGCATAAACATAACCAATTTATGTGCCAGAAGGACATAATATTAATCTTAGCTGGAGTCTTGTATATATCGTCAACTCGTCAACTATCACAATCCCAGCAAAACGTGACTGCTGACTAACTATAGCTAACTATATCTTCTGCTTCTGTCATAAAGTTACGATTTACATTATTTATTTAGTATTTGCATCTCTATCAGGTTGCTGATTGCTATACGTATTGAGCTATATTACACATGTTACGATTAGTCAAGTTATATTAGAAATATTTAAACGTATAAATCATAATTCATCATTAACAGTACGAATAAAATTTTATACACATAGACGGCAGAAATTTCTATCTTCTTTTCGAACACGCTTAGACAAATCGATTGTTGTTCTCATCGCAAATCCTCAGAGAGGGCAAGGACGTGTGTAATATAATTGACTTCGATTTCTCTGATGCCTCCCAAGGTAATTTATATTATATTGAAAGAAATCCGGAATGCCATTCTTTGAAATTGTCAACTGGATCCGCCTCGTGGACACTTTTCTCTACGAATTAACGGGAACGCCCACGACACACCCCTCACAAATGACAAAGGTATGCCTATTGCAATTGAATTATACAAGTACAATCCCCTTTAACTCCGGATGTGCGTCATCTTGACCCCTACCAACGCCACAACCGAGAAAAACCTTCCGGACGAAAATAATGAAAATATATATACAATTTTTTCCTCTGCCGTTTTTGTAACACGGAGCACTATTTTCTTCAAAAGTATGTTTGATACCTTATGAAATGTGATATTTTTTACAAATTGCATAATATGACACGTGCACTATTACTCAGTAAAATCTAAAGGAGTTCAAACTTTCAATGTTTCTCTTCTACTTCGTCCATGTCTGCAAGACACATATGTATTCAGGGAAGGTCGTCGTTGATTAGATATTGGCTAGCAGTCCTTTCTCCTTACAAAATCACGTGAAATCGAAAATGGTGCTTAATTATTACATCTTCTCCTGTTTCACCCGAATTGAAAAAAAAAAATAAGTTGGAGTTTAAGTTTAAAATGTCTCTTTTGAGTTTGATTGTTTTATCAATAAGCTGTCAAAAATTAGGTTTAATTCAATCACGCCCACTAGTGACTTACAATAGCGTATATTACAATAGCGCATGGAGAGTCGAAAGAATGTCAGTGGAGTTGGCATATGACTCAGAGTCCTGCATTGCCAGAAAGAACCTTGATTCATCCAATACTTTTAATAATTTTACAAGGACGTCATATCAATGTACAGTCACAACTTCAGATATTTTAGATTCCTTGGCATAGACCGATATTGCCAGGCTTGTCCATGGACATATTTTTCTGTCCCATTCTAATCCCATAGCAATCATGCCTGTCCCATCACATCGAATACAATTCAATAAAAATTGTTAAATTTAGGTTTAGTGTCTACTAAATAGGACTACTTATACGAGTCGAAGACACATGCAAAACAACAAAATTTACGGACTTTGTTAACTTTATATTCATAACTATTATGCATGTGTCCATCAGCCCCTTCACGAAGTATATTGTTAATGCTGAATATATGTTGCTCTTTTTAACTAACAAGAGAGCTATTCTCAAATATATGAACACAGAGTCCATAACGAAATGTTTTACCCTCATTTCCCTGAAAATCATACGGTTTTCGTGTCCCACGTGTCTCATGCGAAATACAAATGTGTGTTGTCCCACCCCATCCCATTGTACGTTTCCCATGAGATTCCCATGGAAATCCTATTACCGTGAACAAGCCTGGATATTGGCAATCCCTCATTATTTTAGTTGATGTCCATTGAAAATAAAAGTTGTGAATCGGTCCTTTCAAACTCATGAGTATAGCTTACTTAATGTCCGATGGTATAGTGAGGATTTAAGTGGAAATATTCAAACGCCATATACCTCAATACATTTGTCAAATTCACACTTCTTTCGATGAAATGTTAATTGAAACCACGCTGAACTCGAAAACATTTAGAACAAAAATGATTTTATAATGTTATTTTTTTATTAGAATGAATTGTTTATGCGACAATTTGAAGCGACAAAAATTATGTTGAGGCGTTATTTTGAACGACAGTCTAGACGTTTTTTAAGATCAAAGGCAAGATAAACCAACTCTTTATTAAGTCATCATAATTGTCGTCAGTTATGATTTGTTGTCTGAAGCAAACGTGTTTTTTGATCGCCAAAAGAAATATTCCAGCGTATGTAGAAACTATTTCTTCCCAACCGACCAAGTTTAAACCATGGACCAATCCAACCACCAAGTGTCTTAATTTGGGTTTCAATTCATCTGCGATGCTATTAAAAAGTAGCATATATGTTAACATTTACTTTCATTGTAAATCAAATTAAAATCTAATTTAACTACTACTGAGAATATCAATATACTGATTTGCTAGAAGTGTCCATGAAAAGACGATAATTTATTATCAGTCAAAATATCTATTATGATAGATCAATTTTAGCCATTTTAAGTTCAATTGTAACGAAATTACCAGCATGGCGACAACAAGTCATAGTCTGATGCAATTATAAGGATGATGCATCGATCCGAACTACATAACAAGACTAAAAACAATATAGTGTTATATCCCTAGAAGTTCTGGGTGAATCGTATTTGTATGGCACATTCAGTAATATTTCATGGTGTTTACGTTCAAGATAGGAAAGTTGAAGACAATTTCGAGATGACTTTTTGTGACGAATCTCAACTTTCCCACATTTTACCCTTACTATCTTTGCTACATTGCTATTGTTTTTTCTTACTGAAATGGTTTCTAAGAATAGTATATACTATAGAAGAAGTATTTTTATGACTATAGACTTTTATATTAAAATGAATATTTTGAAAATTCGCATTTGTTCTGGGGATAGAAGTCATGATTCTGTCGATATATGGATGGAGTGAAGAATCAATGAATAAATTGTGAAAAATTGTAGGTATTGTGTCGCCCAGTAATATCACGGTGATGCCGATCTGCATTCCTAGGTACTTTTACCGTACATTATAATATAATGTGATTCACTGTTGCAACAGGATGTTGCTTTTAGGTATGTTGAACCAGGGTGACTATATGACCCAACCGGGGCAGTGTTTTCTACGAGTGGCGCCGAGGGGCGCTTTTCTCCAAGCCGTTGGCCTTTAGTAGATAGATTCTAAAAATAAAGAGTATACATATACGCTGCAACTCCGTTGAATTTTGACGGTCAGTGTATTACTGCCATCAGTAAACCAGTGTAAGAAAAGCTTATACAGTCGTGTATTCATATTTGTTGTTGAAGGATCAACATTGGTGAGATAAAAGTAATAATGGATGATTGCTTAATGCACATTCACGTAAATGAAGAAAAGCAAGTGTTTTGCGTTATTTTTTGTTAATATTAACGAACTTTTATTTTATTATAAAAAAGATTAAACCCGTTTTTAAGATAGCACCCGTCTCAATATTTGGAGGGGAAGTCAAAAATGCAGATTTTGCCAAAATAAGCTCAATTGCGTAACCAGTCGGGCTTGCTCTATTTTGGGTGCTCCAGAAGTGTGTGTACCAATATTGAGGAAACTGATTTTGTTCGCCTACTCGCCTACAAGTTGTGTAAAGGGACTGAAGCCTTTGGACAGGGGTATATTCACTTGACTAACACAGGCAGTCCCCGAACTCGTAATAGAACTAAAATAAGGAAAATTGGAATAAAATTATGGCCTAACCCTAACCTGGTACACACACTACGGGAGTACCCTATTTCGAATATGAATTAACCTGATATAGTAAAAACTAGTATCCGATTTGTCGATGCTTATTTCCGACAAGCCACAAGGCGACTGGATGTGTTCTCGATGAAAAAGGGCGGTAGTAATTATTTTACCGCATTATGACTTAAAATGTCTGGTTGGAAATTGCTATCCGTAGATATAAATTAGTTTCATTTTTGGAATACTGTCATCATTTATTGCTGACAGGAGACGTAACTTACATTGACTATGTACTGCTCAACGTATTCTGATTCGTGTGCGGAATATTCTGTGAAATATCCAACTTTCTCATAGTCAAGTGTACGCGCGTGCTGAGACGCTGAAATAACTTGTAATTAAATGAAATATTCCAGACATGACCAATATTAAACTTATTAATTGTATGCTTATGACAGTAATAGACTGTTATTATGCATTTCTAATCTTTGAGAAAATATAGTTAGGCAGTAATCCAGGTAGTTTGAAATGCCGCATACGGTTTCCACGAAATTTGGAAGTAAAAATTTGAAATGTTCTCAGAAAGACAAAGGTGTGGTAAATTGAGGATGTGTTTAGATTTCGCGTAACTTCGTATATGTATGGCTTAGTTTCTCGTTGCGTCTCCGTCATCAATATACATGTTGCCGGCTGAATTTTCTAGTCAACTGATACAGGGAAACAATTGGTGGTAGACATTCGGACAGCTCCAGCTCGGAAATAGTGATCCTCAAATATGTGACTATATTTTTTATTGTTAGTCATAGAACGACTTACCAGTCAGTGTCTCGTCTCTCTAAAGACATATTTTGCCATAGTAAATTACAACATTGGATGTTTTGAGCAATAATTTTTTCTAAGAATGAAACGGCAACTTTAAAACAAAAGTTCGGACGAAGCGATACTTTCTATTACTTAATTAGTTAAACGACGAAAAATGGCGGCAGAAGACGCTCACAATCCCGCTAATAAATTAAAAGGTGTCAATTAGCGACAATATAAAGTATATCTTACGTGACCGCGTCGGGCTAGGCCACGTTCCTGACGTGGAACTTACGCCTCCAAAAGTAATGTTCATATAATTGCACGGGTCGTTAAATTTTCGCTTCTAAACATTTCAATTTAACTCTAGGTTTTTTTTCTTGTTATTTCACTCGGTTAAACCATAACCTTTTCTCAGCCTATACTTTGCCACATCTGAGCGCTCAAAATTATTTGGAAAGTATGATTTGTACACCCCGAAGGTGTAACGTTTATAATAGCCTCGAAATATGCATGATTATAACAGGTTGGGTAATTTGTTTAGACTGGGAAATATAGATTATTTTTAAGGCAGGATATCAAAGCGCGACCAGCCTGACCGATAATTGTGCCAAATGCTCCGATGGAACGCTCTGGAATTATTTTTAGCCCATAGCTGAACGGGCTGTAAACGAATAAATAATATTTGTGAGGTTCTAGATATACAAATAAATCGACTTCCCACATCTTAAGATCGCGCGAAGAAAGATACCGAGGTAATTGCAATAATTGCTATCAAATTTTAAACTCTTTCTATCTGCCGTTACAGACAGTAGGAACGCATGCGTGTTTACGAGTGTTTGAAATATAGAAAAAGAAAAACTAGTTAAGTTATGATGCCGTCTGAGTTTGAGGATTGGATCATACAAAATAAGCAAATTTTTGGAAAGTTCAAACAATTGATAACCTAGAATAGTCTGTACTTTTGTTTTTCGGTTTATGGCAATATTCACCAAACTTGAAAAATGTTTTTCTATGTACACCCTCTAAAATCGTGACTATAAACTCCATTTCACGTAATTAAACAGGAAAGGAAGATTGAGATTTGTTTCATTTTTTTTTTAGTTTTTGAAGTTTTAATTTAGTTGTCTACTATATTCCTACTAATTTTGAAATGTATATAACTGCTTCTAACTCGTTCTGTTTCTTTTCAACTTTAACAACAGAAGGTTAGAATGTGTGATGTATATTACTATTTAACAATCATTAATTTTGGGGAAATAAGCTGCAGACGCTGAAGTGAGATTTCAATGTGTAAGTTATGAAAAAAGATAGGTTAGGTTTTACATATTTATCCCGGGGGGAGGAGGGGGAAGCCTATAAGACGACCTAATCATATGGCGAACCACGGCCTCTTGTCCGGTTACCAGTCCATGTCGGGTATGGGATTAGTTAGCCAGTTATTTTGTTTTCGGAAGCATGGACTTCATGGTGGCGGAAGACGTAACCGACCAGCGGTTACGTGAACCACCCTTCATTATATAACTTCGTTATTATCTCGCATTTTTTTTGGTTGGTTGTATTACCCGTATCATTTCACCCGTTGGTCGTATCATTCAAGTTTGGTTTTACATTTTACTCGTTTCGAGTGTTTTTTGCTGAAAATCTCGTTATGTATTCCTTTGAAAATTTGGTACAAATTTACGAATGCAATAAAATGATTGTAGTTTCTGTATTTTGATTATTTTTAATTTATGCCATGAACACATTTTTCATTGTATTCATATTGCCACATTTGTGCTTGTGTTGAAACTCCGTTACTAGTTGGTTTAATTTTTACTTATGAACTGATTCGATATATATTTTTATTCGTGTAATATTTCTAATTCAGGTATACTGCATCAATGTCACCGAATCGTGAAGTTTGTCAGCGTTATCACGTGACGTTCGTGTTAACGTATTGGATTATTTTATTTCTCTGCATAGCGATGTTTGTAGACTGCGGAAGAAGAGGAACTCCTCGTTGGTGGTAGGTATGACGATACATATTAACGTAAGCTAGGATGAAGCTAAACTTATACAAAAGTCAGTGTTCATTCATGAATTAAATAATAACATAATATTCAAATTGAAAAAATAGTTATACCATATTGTGTTCAACAAGGAAATTTTAGGGAAACGGCAGTAAGTCATAAACTACAATGGTTTTTGGTCAAGTTGACGACGACGGATTTTTTTATATACTAAGCGTTCAAGGTAAACTTGGTTACAGTTTTTAATTGGCGACGGAAACAGGGTCTGCAAAATATAGAATGCAAAAGAATTTATTTTCCATGCCACAAATTTGCGAAAATACTCAAATTTTATAAAGAAAATAATTCATTCAAGGTCAATAAAAAAGCAGGAGCCAAGAAGTGACTGGAAGCATCTGGCGCCCATCAACAGCTTAGACCTAAAATACTCTTATTACTGGACTTTACGCGAGTCACGGTCATTCACCATAAAAATATGTAAATGTTTTGAGACGAGTTCAATATAGAGGTTTAAAATGCCATAATTATTTTTATGCATTATAATAAATAATTCCGTTGGCATGTTTTCAATGATTTAAATTGTCGTGAAATGCAAAAGTTATTAAAATAATTGAAAATTTCCGGTCTGACATTGCCATGACAAACTGAATATTTCGTGTGCAACATAGAAACCAGACTTTGTCACGATAACTTACATAGTAACAGATTATCCACGATTATACTTTTGCTAAAAATTTGAAACCCCGTAATTTGAGAGATAAAAATTAGAAACAGACAATGGCGATGTAATTATTTCCAAATCCCATAGAAGAATTTTGTGTACAGAAAGAATGAGGTTGTATTCGTGTCCAACTGTTCAATTTTTGTTCATAGAATTAGAATGCCAAATCAAAGTTTCGACAATGGACGATTTCATGAAATACAAAATCAGTTAAACAAAAATTTGTAGTCTTCCATGACAAGTGACCTAAGGTGACAGAGGGAAAATATTTCTTATTAATGAGTTCATTTTTATGTCAAAATTTGGATTTGATCCAACTTACAAGAGAAATGTGAATATTTGCACGTTTTAACTTACGTCATACAACTTAAAAGAGAGCGACAATGCACAAAATGGGGATGCCAGTGATCCGAAGATTGGAACAGCAAGTCTTTTATGTTGAAAGTTGAAAACGTTCCACAATAGCACTTGACATTTGTATTCAAAATTATTATGTTGTCATAAGAGATTTGTGAACATTATTACATCATTGTGTTTTCGCAGGAATGTTGTTCAGCTTTTACCTCCACAAACTCGAAATCGGTAAGATATTTTGAAAGTTTTCTTCTTGACAATTAATCGCTTTCATAAGTTTATATTTATATTATTCAACTTAGTGAAAGTGGCTTTACGAAATATAGGCTTCATATTTTAAGGACGCTATCAGGCCCAGTTCAGTCGACGTTATCATGCTCTAAAATACCTGGACTTGTACCGAGACAACTTCGATTTTGTCGAAATTATAAAGAGCTTATGCAAAGTATTGCCGAAGGAACAAAATTTGGAATAAACGAATGTAAATATCAGTTCAAGGGACGAAGGTAATATATTGTTCATTGATTTAATTAAATTTTCTCTATGTAGCAACTAATTTTACTAGATTGTTATGGATGGGTGTGGTATTGCCTAAAATGCAGAATATGTGTCTTCGATTATAGAATGAGTTTTAAGAATACAACTGTTTGGAAAATGCTAGTACTATTTTAGACTATCCAGATATTCGCTATTCCAGTTATTGATTTTATATTGTTCGAAATAATTGTTCTCGTTGATTTTGTAGCAGCATTTGATCTGTGCCGGACATATTGCTCTGGCGTTCCAAAAATTTTATATAATAAATATAGTATTATTAATTATTTAATTGAATATTAAAAATTGCAATTGCAAAAATTCAGAACCCAAATTTACAGAAAAAGGTTGAGAAAATGCAAAATTCAAGAGGGTATTTTATTACTGCTGCCGAATCTTTTTTTGTTTCTTTTTCTCAAATGCCCTCGTTTATATCTGTTACATGACAACCATAAAACACGGATTTTACATGACAAATAAAATACAAAAATACAAAATGTTCACAGATGGAATTGTAGCACAATCACGTTAAATTCTGCGAAAGTATTTAAAAGAAAAAGTATATTCGGAAGTGTTCTGGAAACAGGTATATAACATCGCATTCATGCTATATATTTTTTTAATTCAATAGGTATTATGTAAAAACTTCATTTTTCATTTCTCAATAGCTTCAAGGGAAGCTGCATTTGTGCATGCTATAACAACAGCCGGTATAGCTTACGCAGTGACAAAAGCTTGTTCAGCGGGAAGACTAAGTTTATGTGGGTGTAATCCAACAACCCAAAGTAAGTATTTTCATATTTAAATCAAAATAGAAGTAATTTTTTCATTTTTCTGTAATACAGTAATATCAGCAAATATGATAAATTCACCTTCATATTCGACGATGGTTTGCAAATTGTATAAACGTTAACAAAAGCCGGCATCGTACCACCGATTAAACTATAAGGATTATAATTTGGTGGAAGATGGTGAGCATGTAAAATAAAGAAAAATCGGAAACCTAACGATAGGAATGTGGTCAACTGTAACGACTTGTAAATGTAGCCTTTATCCACGTTATCCTCGGACACAAACTGATGTAGGAACAGGGCTAGAGGACGTGATTCCTCACATGAGTGATTCTCAAACTTTCACGATTCGTGGTTTCCTTACAAAAACTTTCATCGCCAGTGGCCCCCTGTTTTTTTTTTGTTTTTTTTTTATAAAAATGCCTAGTTAATGATATATACCAAGTTTAATAATAATAATAAAACGAATGAAAAAGAATAAATGTATTGCAGTCAAAGAATTAAACAAATCGCAACTAAAATTAATGCGCAGTCATGTCATCATCTAGTAACGATGTTTGCTCGTGATTACCAGAGAACCGTATGGGGCAATTTTTAGGAACTCTGCCCACATACAATTAGGAATATTCTCTCGAGAATCCACCTCCAGAGTGAAAATTGAATATTTTATGTTATATACGGTACAGTGATATCGCGCGTCATAAAATGCCGCTTTAATATGTTACAGACTTGCCAGTCGAACTCGAACGACAACTCGAAAATCGAAATTGGAGGTGGGGAGGTTGCAATGATCACATAGACTATGGAATCAAAATTTCTCAAGACTTTGTGGACGCCCAAGTTCGGGTGACGTCGGCCCGCTCATTGATGAATAAACATAATAATGAAGCTGGACGACAAGTGGGTGAAACGACAAAAAAACATTACTTTATTCTTTTAAAAATATAATAGAATCAGTTACAAACATTTAATTTAGGCCATAAAGAACAATATGTGGGTAAAATGCAAATGCCACGGACTATCTGGAAGTTGTGATCTTCAGACATGTTGGTGGTCAACCCCATCTTTTCGTAGGGTTGGGAATATTTTAAAAGAAAAATATGATGCAGCTTCAGAAATGGTGATGGAAACACATAAAGAAGTTACTGGGAGAGTTGAAGTTTTAAACCCAAAGTAAGAAGTATTTGATAATTTCCGATGCAAGGTTCTGAATATTAGTTGTCAGCGTTTATTTGAATATACTTTAAACTGTGTCTTTGTTTGTAGATTCTCTTCATTTCAACCGCCAGGATCAGGCGACTTAATTTATTATCAGAGTTCGCTCGATTATTGTGAGCCAAATCGAAGACGTGGCATACTTGGTACAAAAAACCGTCGGTGTAACGCCACATCGGCCGGCATCGAAGGCTGCGATTTACTGTGCTGCGAGAGGGGATATGAGTCCAAGACGATCGTGCGAAAAGAAAGGTGTAACTGCGTATTTCATTGGTGCTGTCATGTGACATGCAAAGAGTGCATGAATGAATACGAAGAACACACATGCAAATGATGAAAAACAACACTTGCTTGTAATACAAGGAAATGTTTTCGCCATAGACGCTAAAAAAACAAATGCTTAAAATTTCTGAAAAAAGTTCATTTCATATTTTTAAATTGTTCCGTGTCGAGTCGGCATATCTATATTAGTATCAGTCTGTATTTATTTCAGTTTTGTTTATAACTTCGATTTTATTCATATATACTTCAATAAACAATACTTTATGGAAGTGTTTTAGATATAGCTGGACAAGAGGTTAATTAAACATGGTTATGATTCTGTTTTGATATTTTTGTAAGGAAATGATTAGCATCAAAATAGTTTTAAATTTTATATTAGAGCAGAGCAGCGGACCGGGACCACTACGACTTTAACGGTAGACTACTAAATTCGCAAACCGGAAAACGCATCCTAACACAGACTTCATTGCTTTAAAAAAAATTATCAAAAGGTCTTAGTTCTCAGATTGCTAATTTTGGCCCGCGAGCGACAAAAAGTTGCCGACCCCTGCTTTAAATTATCAAAAGGTCTCAGTTCTCAGATTGCGAGTTATAGATGTCATTCTGTTCTTCCAATAAAAACTGTAAGATGACGCATGCCACCCTAACTATGCATGCGTCTGACTATTAAAAAGAGAGAAATATAACAACGCACAGAAGTAATAGAACGCTAGAGCTGTTCCAAGCTAATAATTACTAATACAGGTCCCATAATCGAAGCCAATACGAACATACTCTACAACAATCACCAAATGGAAACTAAAATTTATTCTAAATAATAACACACTAATAATGATACTTTACCGAACGCGTGCCTTAATTAAAAAGTTTGGAATCTCAATCTTTGTGCCGTATATAGGTATATATATCAGTTGCCAGACTTTGTAATTTTATTCTTACAAAATTTGTTGATAAATAATTTTTTAACGTATTTATCGCGCTTCTGTTTACATAACAAGAGAGCAATGCTCAAATATATAGACACGAAAGCCAAAACGAAGCAGTAACGTTATTTAATTGTTTGTAGCACCCGCAATCTTATCTTCCCAACTTCAAATGACTGCCACGATCCCGAACGCGGAACCGCCACAAGGTGAGCAAGTTTTATTTTTGATTGAAGTAGTTGAAGAGAATTTTTTACCAACAAGAAAAAGAAAAACATGAACAGCATTATAATAATAATATTATTGGAACAAAACGATCTATAGATTCATTTCGTGTCCAATAACGTATAAATATTTATTGTCATTGTCATGAGAATAGAGGATAGAGGATCGTAAAAAGTAAAGTGAGAAAAAGTAATTTATTCTCAGTAACAACACAGACGCATCATAAACTGTACTTTACAATGTGGATATTGTCATTTGATGCCGCGCATGAAATTTTATTTTTTTTCCTCAAACTCGGAGGGAGACAGTTATATCGAAATTAAGCTTTTTGGAGATTCAAATAAGAGTAGTTGGGACAATACTTCTAAAACAGAGCTCGGGCAACTATTTTAGCTGTACTTGACAAATCACTGAGCAAAGTTCTAAAACCCTTTTAATGAATGAGTCAAAATTTATATTTTTATAGCGGAAAGGAAGATTATAGGCTGTATATATTCAATCAAAGTTTGCACCATTGAGAATCTTATAACCTTAGTTGATTTTTTTTGCCGTTTTAACGACCGCAAGGCGTCAGTAAAGAGGCAAAATGTTGGTTGAATGTCGGGATGTGCGTTACTTCAAGCAAATATAAACAAAAAAATGAAGTTTTGCTTTCAGTTGAAGTTTTATAGGTATAATGTGATCAAAGACTATATGAAACTGGTATAATTTTGTCAATAAGTTATACCATTTTCTTCTGTGGTTAAAATATAGCCGACAACATAGCAACCCCAGGGTGTCAGTAAAGAGACAAAAATGGTTGCATGTCGCGATGTGCGCTACGACAAAGTAAATGAACACACTGAAGGGAGATTATTTAATTTTATTCTCATAATTGTTTTATTTGCCAGATCTTATCAGAATCAATTTTAGACATATTGTTCACCATTTCATCCAACCGGTCGAACGGAAATCATCAACGTATATTTATGTCATAAATTTTTAATGAAAAACCTCTTAGTATAACAGCGAGCTATAATCACAACGTTTTACTCTATTTTTAATTTGGAAATATAACGATCATAAATGGAGTCCAAATCTGTTTTTTTTAGCTGGAATATATCTGATCAGATACATGGTAAATAATAATAGCCAAAAAGGACAAAATCATTTATATTCATGCCATTGAATATTGTATTATTTTTCCAAAATTTTATGTGGGATTTCGTATGAAGTATACGTTTTTAAAATTCTGTATTTTGAATAGGTAGTTTGCACAAAGTATTACGATATATCGTAAAATTCCCACCTTATTCCAAATGATACTTCTTTGAATATAAATGTTATAACTTGCGTACCATCTACACCCAAACTGGGTATTTAAATGTCCTCCGTCAAATCATTTTGGTTTATTTTAAATATTTGTCTTATATCCTTCTCAACTGTTCCCATAATAATTTTCGGTTTCCACTGGTTGACTTTCTTGATTTGACAATATTGTCTTTTGTGACACCTGGCTGAGTATTTCTGGTATTCCATGTCTCACTGTAGGAGCTTACATTGAAATCATCCCGTCACTGTAAATGGCATCTATTTCCATGCGACAAGCAGAAGACGATTACTTCCGATGCTGGACTAAACTCTAAAACCATTTGCGGTTATGTCAACTGTGGGAGTCAAAATACATCATAAAAAAAAAAACAATATTTATTTTGCAAATTTTATTTCAAAACGTTTACAAACGTTTCCATTTGGAACAAAAAGGTACTAGATTCACGAGTTCGGTCTAATACTAGTCTGCAATAGAAATACAAGAAAGTCACTAACGGTTGGCAGTAAATGAAAAGTGTATGGTCTATGCACATTTTTCAGTCAAACTACTAACGAGAAATACGTATATTCCCTGCTAAAATGGACTATTATCAATCTGATTTCTTCGCTGGGTTGTGGTTTGTTTGTAAGATTGCCAATTGAAAGCAAACACATATATAAGTAGTGAAACTTGTGACATCAATGTATTAAGGCAATCGAAAGACAATAAAGTTAATCTTGAATCCAAAATTCCAAAAATGATAATACTACTTTTCCATAGGTAGCCTATATAATCCAATAAGAATGTGAGAAAAATTATCTTGAGAGCAAATGATTAAATAGGTACAATCATGAATACTCATAATATGTTCTAAACCGATTTCTTCTCGGCAAAAATGAATACAGTATGTAAAATAACGATCCTCCCACATTGGCATATTGTTATAACGTTTTCAACTGAAGAATAATAATGCAAAAACAGATTTAAATATAAGAAAATTTCTAACGAGCATAATACAAAAATTTTGTGTATGGGTCTCCAGATAATTCTTATAACTGAATGGAGTTTTGCAAGAATTCAATCCGAATCTCCTATTCCGATCATTTATTTATATTACTAAAATATGCATCTTATTTATAATTAAAAAACAAAGCTACAGTTTTTAATGATTTCCCAATAACCTGGGAACGGCGAAAATGTAATACTCCCTAAGTCAATTTGTAACAGAGCGCAATAGTTTCATAAGTATTTTTTTGTAGAAAAATTTGTTGATAATTAAATATAATTGTACTTTATTTTAGTAGCACAGTGAATCTCCAAATCCAGACAAAATTTAGTTAGTTTGTCATATATTGAGAACATCTTTAACGTGTTTTTCGTAAGCAAATTGAAAATAGAAGTGTTTGAATGAATAGCAAAAATAAAATTATTTTCTCAATAAGGTGACCCACGCCAACCAAACTACATAATCCACCAAACGTATGCCTGCAAGCATTTGGCCGTCTCGAATATCATCAAAACGTGTGTATGTGTATTGGTGATGATTTCTACGAGAGTTTCTTCTCCAGTAATTGTATTGTTTTATTTTTCGGCAGAATATTTCATGACTTCAGTCTGTCTTCGGGCCCAGTTGCTTGGACCATTAAAGAAATTCTAGTTCATTGCCGAAGTTTATGGTTTAGATGTAAAGTACTGCCCAAGTGCGTTGTTGCTAGAACTTCCTTGAGACTGCTCGATTGTAGTAGCGGTATTCTTTAGTGCCGTTTGTGTCCGCGCTGCCAGTCTTGATTTGCTAGACCCTCTTCTGCTTCTGGTACCATCAGTGCGCACAACTGTAAAATAATCATCCAACATTTAGTTCGTGCTATTACCAGGCGAAAGATGCACTTTGTTCGAGAGTAACGTACTTTTCTACTTTTTTCAAAGCATTGGACTGAAGTAGTATAATTCACTAAATTAATTACCGACACAATAACGTTATCGCAATGGCTTGATGTGTGACAAGAGCGTCCATTTTCACTTTACGAACAACGGAATTGGAATAATAAACCGGACACGTCGGGACACGTTTGACTGTAAACACCTCCAAACACTGTCAGGGAGATGATCACGAGAACAACAAAGGCATATAGGTGATTAGGAGAAGTCAGTATAAAGGTAAGCACAGACGAGTCGTTACTGACGTGGAAGTAATTAAAATTGTTGAATATTTATGTTTTATGACAGTCGCCAACGTCTAAAATCATGAGCTATCATGTTCATGGAACATATTTAATTTAAATACTACATCTCCACGCAACATCGAGATTAGGAAATTATATTACATGAATAAAGCAGTTAATGCTATTTATGGTATGGGAATCGAATAAAAAGAAAATGGCGAAGCAGATAAATGGGTAACTGTCTAATCTAGTATTATCTCACATTAATAACCAGTATAAATAAAGGAATTGAGCTATAAAAAATTGAGCTATTGAAGAGCAAAACATTGATATATAGCATTTTCGTTTTTGTGATGTTTATTGTGGATTGTAATCAGATAATCGGATATATATAATAGTGCTCGGGTAATTTAGGCTTGAAGATTTTGGTTCGGCCTGTTTTCAATACTAAAATCATTTTTGGCAATTTTAACGTCCAATTATAGGAATTGTGAATTCAAAAAAGAATCCTCCAATTTCAAAACAACTTTTCTTCCCAGACCACTTTATCAAAACATACATATCTGATATTCAATTCCAGAACTTTGTTGCGATGGCGTCGCAAATTTAAAACAAAATGGCGTATGAAAAAATTGTGTTGTAAGTTCTAAGAATTCATTAAAACAATCGAAACTCACCATTTTTTATCATGCCAACAGCAATACATTTCTGATATCGACAATACGGGCAATGTGTCCTTGTCTTTTTGTCAATGGGACAATTTTTATTTCCCAGGCAAACATATTGGGCGTTTTTCTGAACTGAACGCTGTTTGAACAAAATAATAACCGGTAATTAATTATCAATCAATTAGCATGAAATCACTTGGTTTAAATGTGATACGGATTTTACTAAGAGTGTGCTGCTAATTACTGAATGAAAGTAGGTATGTTGTTTATATATTAGATAATTCACACCTTCCGTAATCTGTTTGAAAATAATTACTGGATATTGTAATTGTTCAAAACGATTTTATTAATTATTAAATCAAATATTTATATTTGATTTTGTGTGAATACCAATGACAAATTACGTTATAAACTATATACCTTGAAGAATCCTTTGCAGCCTTCGCATGCAAGTACTCCGTAGTGTTGCCAACGAGCTTTGTCTCCACATACTGCACAACTTCCTTCTCCGAAGCCTCCGTAGTTGCGCAGAGTGTTTATGCTGCTTGAACTCGATTGAGGTGAAGTCGTTCTTCTTGAAGAAAAATTCTGAAAAACAAGAATAAACTTTGGTTAAGTTAGCAAAGATAATATTTAGATTACCGGGTTTTACCTATGACGACAAAAAGTTACATGATAAGTTGCATGCCAAAAGTGTGACTCATTTGCCTGGAGTCAAAGCTATTATGCCAGTCGCGGATGCGGGAATACCCAACAATAGTACCGATTACTTCATTCCGCGAGACTTTCAAGTCTTTTACGTCAAAGCTATGCAACTAAGTCAACTCCTTTATCACACCTGTGTTAAACCACTAAAATCGCCTGTTGCCTGCTTGTACATCTGCTCGATAGTTAAAGTCTTTGTGTTGCTGAAAAAATTCTTCATTGACTCGTAAGAGTTGTCTAATGATATGTTGTCCATTCCCTTGTCTGTATCGATATCTACGCCATGCGAACCGTCCTTGACGGTCTTGAAATAAGCCTGTTTTCTGTGACAATCTGCGGAGTGGGATGCGGGTGATGGCAAAAATGTTGGAGTCGTAGATCCGTCTGAAAACCGACTCGGGTTTGACCTTGGCGAATCTAACATAAGTTCTTCCGTACCAGGTAATGATGATCTACGTTGGTTAGACAAAGATACAAACATGTTGCCCATCACAATCGGATTCGTTGCTGGAGACGAAATCTGCTCGATGTAAGTTTCTAAAGGCTGATGATACCCACCAGAGTCAGCCCCATTGAGCCGTACAAAAATGTCTTTGAGCGACTTGCCATTATTACTAGACGTTGATGAGCACATTGCAACGTTTTTTCTCTGAGACTTGTAGCTGTTTTGACTGTTCACACTCTGAGTATTGATTAGTCGTGGATATGTAGTAAGATCGATACTACTTGTCTGCGATGACAAGGAATTTTCAAAATCCTGATGGGAGTGGATTGTTGAAGAATTGCTGGTATACAGTGAATTAGTGTTATGTGCTAATTGCTCCGAATTACTTCGCTTCCCCACTCTATTCATGCTGAAATCTAAGGCACCGTATTCGACTTTGACAAATGGCATTTCGGAATTATGTTTGGAAGTATATTCAGAAGCCTGTCTGTGATGAACAAAGTCATTGTCTACGTACGCACTAGCTCGTACAGGCGAATTTGTGGTCAAATCCAATGACTTAATTGACTCTGCTTTGGACGTCGATATTGAGTTCCGGGTGAAGTTGCCTTTGATAGAATTAGATATAACAGAAGGCCGTGGCTGTCTTACTTCATCGGGAAAGAAATGGTTGATATTATCTATCGATTCAAATGGTGACGAGGAAACATTAGTTTCCGTTTGGTCAATAAATGTTGAAGATTCCAGGTTATCAAGCATAGTTTTGTGATCATACGGTCGTGTGAAATGACAATGTGATGCTGCAGTGAGGTCCTCAGGTGGTGATGGCGTTCTTTTATCAGGCGAATTGTGTATCTGAGGTGAAAATGCCGAAAACTGATGAAATTGTTTGTTACCAACAATGCCGCGCGAATGAGAATCATCCAGCGTTGAAAAATCGACGTGACCTGAGTTAACAGAGTCTGGGCCGTGGTATTTCAAAAATTGTGATGGGGGAGTGGCCGAGGAAGATGGATTAGATTTTGCTAAATGCCAGTAAGGCAGAGATCCTGGAGCTGCTAAACTGACATCTCTTGCATGTCGATGCCACCGTCTGTTATAATGATGCTCAGGTGCGCTATTCCCAAAGTCGGATACGAATATCATGCTCTTGCCGTCTGAATTAGAAACAGACCGAATTGTAGTGACAGATCCTTTTTTATCTGCAAAATCGATGCCGGGAGCATCAGTGTGTGTGATCGTTTGCCTTTCAAAAAATGAATCATGCAATCCCATGTCCGCCATATCCATTCCGTGGTCTGGAAGAATATCAGTCGATATTGTGGAAACCCCGTGTGTGTCACTGTTATGGTACGAAATAATGTCGATTTGTTCTAAATCTGAAGAGATGGGATTTTCTGAATAGTCGTTGTTTAAACATATCGGAACTGATGGATTGCTGTATTGCCTTGAGAACTGGAGTTGGCTCATCTCAAGCTAACAGCGTGTCCTTTTGTATATTCTCTCGTTCCGACAGTGTATGCTATTCTATATAAACATTTTTTTAAACTTTTCTAAGGTGAAAAGATATAATAAAATATTATATATTTTAATAATATACTCAAAAATAACCAATTTACAACTACACTTTTCTTTTTAGTTACCTACAAATTTTATCGCATTTTTGTAATCTCATTCTGCTCTTCTAACATTGTTCACAAAATCGTATCAGTCAGTGACCTCTCCTTAGCGTGTATAATACCCAAGACCGCTTCAGTCTCATTTTACTTCGCGCGAACAACTTTTTACTGTTTTCCTCTCATTTAGCCTTTGAACATCTGAAACCTCGTCATCAATGCGATGATCGCACGATGCGATAAAGAATTTAACCGTGGGCGATTTATTATCGTTTGAACAATGCATTGCCGCATGTCCGAAATGTGAATTATCAGCAAAGTATTCAAATTTTCTGCAAATTTACAATTTAAACCAAACAAATCTAACAATGCAATAATTTGGTTTCCACTAGACCGACCGTTTGATATTAACCAAATTGCTCTTGCTATGCGTGTCGTAACATCCACTCCGCTTGTGCGTTGCGACAAACTTACTAAAACTAAAAATGCTGGTTAAATTAAGCAAATCCATAACTGTTACGCCTGCAACTGCTGATAACAAAACGGTTAGCTAAAACTTTCAGAAATCCGAATAAAATGGAATTATGCCTCCGGCAGAGTACCGGCGCTCATGCGAGACATAAATATTTTCTCGATTGGCAAGTTTTACGAGTGTTGCTTCGAATGACGCGAAGTTTCCTGGTCATTACGTAGTCGCGGTTAAATTTGAACGAAAAACAGACATAGTCGTCTACGTTATAAATCTATCGAATTATTTAAATAGAAAGTTCAAATATGCTTACCTGATTAGAAGCCAGATGGCTGCTCATCATGGAGAGTTGGGGTTGCTGAAGAAATCCTTGAACAGACGCGGAACTATGATGGGAGTGTCCCCAATATGTAGCTTGGTATCCCTCGTTCTTTATTGGTAATGTTTCAGTTATAAAATTACCAGCACTTGGGACTCCTGTAGGCGATATTTGGTGCTGAAATTGATGCTGATGCGCTGTCCTTGGGGAGCTTGCAAACATATTATCACTATACATTTGTGGTGGTAGTCCTTGTTCATTTGTAGTCCTGTACGCTTGAAAAGCATTGGTGTGTGACAACGAAAATCTACCACTGTAAATATCTATGGGTTGATTAGGGTCCGTTGCGTGGGTATTAGTTAAATACGACGTTTGTGGTATGGAGGAGTCACTTGTGTATGAGGTTGTTACAGCGCTGTCCTTCGGATAAAATGTACAGCCAACTCTATCCATTTGTGGGCGCACATCAGCAGTGTCTGCGAAGTCGAAATTACCTGGAAAGGAGAAAAGCATATACGTTCATAGGTGTCGGTTCTATGAGATTTAATAAATTATGTTGATAGGTCTCGGTGCTATGAGATTTAATAAATTATCTTTATTTTTTAATTAGATTTGATCTACTTTTGTTTTATAAATTGAGAAACATACCTCGATTGTAGTCGATTGCTCGCATATGTCCTAGTTCGCTGAAGGCTGGGTGTTGAAAACTTTTGTTTGCCGGATCGTTTATTGCATTACTCCAAGTAACTCCATCCCAGCTTAGACTGTGTGGGTTGTTTTCTGTATCCTTAACATGAACGCCACTCTCTCGTCTCCATGGCACACTCCCACTGCGCTGTTCTAGGGGCTCGTCGGGACTTGGATAATTTGTGCCCGATATTTGTGGCAGACTGGCCCGGCGTTGCATTCCGTCCGTCCACACCGGCGAACCTTGTTCTTGTGCGTCCCCCCTACTTGGGGGCGTTTGGTTTCCTTGCCAATGCACAATTTCGGATGATACATTGGCATGAGGTTCAATAAGACTTGCCAATGTTACTGGATTATCGTTACCCACATTATATCCGGGAAACTCGTGTTCAACTGAAGGTTCGTCGACGAAATGTTGATTATACACGGTGCAAGCGGTAACCGGTGCTTCGTTTGAATTTGGCAAAGCCGTTGGTGACGAGTCTACAGAAGTTTGTGATCTTATACTTGATCGTGATGAGTGTGGAAATGTCATATCCATTGAATACGCCGTGCAGGGTGGTGATTCTGTATAATAAAGTGACTCCAGTAAATCTTCTGATGTCGTTGATGGGGCTGTTTCCCAGTAGTCAGGTACGATCGGGTCGATTGATAGTTGAGCCTTTGGAAAAGAGTCGATAGCCACATTACTGTATGTCCCAGTGACGGTTTCGCTCAAAGCGCAACTCGCATTGGGCGTGGCAAAGACATGATGAGATGAAGCCGGGTAAACGCAGTGCAACAAAGAATTGGACGGTTCTGCATCAGCAACAAAATTCGCCACAACGGGACTGGTTAGTGCCGACTGCTGCTGCATCATAACGGCGCTTGAGCACATGTCCTATCGCGAAAAAAATGAAATGAAAACAAAATAAGAGCGATGTAAAGTTAAAGTTAAAAGACATAGGGAGCCCATAAAAATTGGTCCAAATAATGACTACATGCATAAATGAGATGCGTTAGTAATTGTGGCATGCTTTAGCTGAAATTCCGTGTGATCGAATCGATGACACTCGAAGAGGAAGAATGGATGGACAATAGATATTTTTGAATGATACCATGCGATATTTATCGTAAAATTAACGTTCGTTATTAACTGAAAATTTTCCAAGCATACTATGGTATTTGTAACCACTCTTAGAAAAAATAAAATTGACAAAAATTGTCGAGGAAATTGAGATGTATGAGTCACTTCCGGTTCTCTATTTAAATTTCATTTTGTGCGTCAGCCGTAACATCAAACTTCCAATTAATATAATTTTTTGTTTTGAAGCTATTACATTTGTTCCCAACTTAAAATCTTCTCTATGTTCAATGTAACATCCATTTGAAATAACAGTTATAAAATAAAAAAATTGTTGTTAAACCCGGTTGGTTCCAAATGGCGAAATTCTATGTATGTTTCTTTGCGATGCATTAAATAGCTGTTAATAGCCGAATTTAAGTTTCTCAAGCAACACTCTTAAGGCAGTGTGAAGAAACCCAGTTTTTTTTTTAAATGCGTCGAAAATATACATTACAATGATTTTGCGTTGGCATGAGTATTGCAGCAAGACAATATTTAAAATATGATTCAAGTTTCAACATATAACATACTCACGTTTGTTAATGTGATAGTCGGATGATAGTCCTTCGATACAGTTTGTAACGATGATCTTTTTCTTGAAATCACGATTTGCAGATATCCGAAAACAATTTTATAATCAAATATCCTTCTATATTTTATCCGAGTGTATCCCGTAGGCTAAACCTTAAACATCGCCGCAGGCTATCTCGATATGTCTGATCCATTCGAGAGAGGGCCCCGTTTTTATATCAACGTCAATTTTCAGTTCTCTCGGAATTTGAGAAAAAATAACTTTACGTAATATTTAGTACAATTCATAGTCAGCGGCGTGACTACGTCGACGTCAACGCAAGTAAAATGTTCTTACGCAGCGGTAAGAGACATTCCGATGCGTGTAGTCAATTCTATTTATGCGTGAGGTCGACGTCGCTACGTAAGATCCATTTAGCTACGAGAAGATTGATGACAGCACGTAAAAACGTCTTCACTCCCGATACCACTATTTCAAAGAACATAATAAAGAGAGAAGTAAATTAAGGCATGCGAGGCGTTGCGAGTAAGCTCTATTCAAAAACATATTCGAAAGGCTGGTTGAGTCATACTTTGCATGCACAATATTACGTCATATTTGCATGTAGATGATATTTCAGATCTATGGAGAAAAATAGTAATCGAAAATGAGCTTAAATTGTTACCTGTGTCGAAACCGAATCCTTGTCGTGGCATTTAAGTTAAGATAATTGAAACTGCGTGAAGTTTGACGCTCTTTACTAAATAAATAATGTACGCAATTTTCGGTAAATTATTCTATTTTCCCCTCCAAAGTACAAGGTTAAATATAGCAATCTTGAAAACTGACGTTTTGAGTAATTTCACGTCATTTTAAAAGTTATTTACAATGTATTACAATACTTGCTCATACATTAGAACAACGAACAGTGAACAATATCGGTTTCATCTCCCAAAGAGCGAAATATAATTATGTCGGTCTTGATATTTTTAGCGCTTCATGTATATTTAATTCTGTTTCCTAACAACACTGCAACATTTTCTCCATTTAAAATGCTATCTAAAACATATCGCCGACGCAACGATTATTTTAAAACACTTGTGAACTTTTTCAAATATCATTCATTTCCACGTTTATGATATTTTCATCATATAATTGTACATGTATGTGAGACAGTACTAACACAACCATGGCGTGTTCAAAGTGCATACATGTGCTAAACGAATAAACTACCTCAAACTTTAATTTAGTTATTTATTTCCCAGTGGAATAGCGTGACTCTGTTTCGTAATTTCTAGCATTTTCTATGCAGTGGCGTAGTGTTTTGCTCATTAGTTGAACTTCCTTTACCTGTCGTTTGTTTACTAAAAGTGCATCATAAATATTCCTAGGTTTATTGTTGTTCGAAAAACGTATACGCTGATATTGAACTTGAGAGAGGTCGTAACAGGATAGTATGGTTGTTTTCCTCCGACAACTCGGGTGATGCGTGTGCTACTGTTCGTACTTTGAAGGGGTATCTATTCTATAATAATATCATACATTAAATTGGAAAACTATACGGAAATGTCAATGGAGTCTGAGCATACGACAATTGCAAGGTGCGTAATTAGGCACGCATAATCTTTTCAGGGTGATAACGAATAGTACAAACATTATTCTATTCCTTATTATGCATACATTCATTTGTTCAAGCTTATTGGTGGCAGTTCATGGGATTTTGAAATGACATTTTCAACTAGTTTCTAAGGTGTTTTCCTCAGATTGTTGTCAAAGTGCAAATAGATCAGAACTTCAGATTAAGACTTCCCTGTATCCACCAGATAAATTAAGAACTTTTTGGTTAATAATATTCGTTACAATATTTAAGAAACGGGATATTGGAGATATGACAAAAAAATAATATTTCTCTTTATTTAACAACCAGTAAGAATTCTGTCAACGAGGCAGCTAGAATAATTTATAATTAATGGAAAAGTTGATTTTTAATTGATGCTAAAAATAACTTTATCTCTACCACTGAACATTATTTGTGTTCTGTTAAAAATGTGACTTTGCTAATAATAGAGATCGAAATTCTACCCAAACAATGCAATTATTTGTGAGCTATTGTGGTAAAATTGACCCTCGCGTGTATCGATTTTAGATTTATATTGGTCGCCTACAATAAAGCATTCACAACATTGTGATTTTTATAGTTTACGCCCACTGCGCGCTATTTAAAATTCCATAATTTACCACCAAACTCTAATGCCGCTTTGACCGGATTACTAACCGAGAGAGTAATGTACTTGATAATTCTCATACTTTTTAAACATCGATGCATACTTGTGGAAAAGGCGTATTTCTCTCCAACGCCCTTTGGTTTTGCAAAAATTTACCCACGACTCAAAAATAGAGCGCGACTCAATGGATAACC